TTCTGCTCCTCACCCTGGTGCTGCTCCTCACCCTGGTTCTGCTCCTCCTCACTCTAGTTTTGCTCCTCACCCTGACTCTGCTCCTCTCCTTGGTTCTGCTCCTCCTCACCCTGGTTCTGCTCCTCTGCTCCTCCAAGACCATCGAGTCCACCCTGTGCCCGATGCCCACCTTGTCCCCCAGCCCAGAGCACCCTGAGCCCCAAAATCTGCTCTGGGGATGCACCTGGGAAAGCCCTCCAGGATCACCGAGTCCACCCTGTGCCCAATCCCCACCTTGTCCCCCAGCCCAGAGCCCTGAGTGCCACGTCCAGGCCCTCCTTGGACACCTCCAGGGATGGGGACTCCAAACCTCCCTGGGCAGCCCCTTCCAGAGCCCGACCACCCTTTCCATGAGGAAATTCCTCCTCAGAGTCCTCAGCTCAGCCCAGGCAAAGCTCATCGAGGCCTCCTGCCCACCCCTCTGGTTGGGACCCCCCTGTCCTGCTTTGGGTCTCTAAGCCCAGATGACTTTTCCTCCAGAGAAAGGAGAGCTGGGACAGTGAAACAACCCCAGAGAAACTCTGGCTCTGGGCAAATTCATTTGAAACCCAGAACTTCTTTTCCCTCCCCGATTTGCAGGAGCCAGGAGGGATTTAACCCCCGGTTTTGATGCTCCACCTCGATCTCGAGAAGGAGAAATGTGGGCAGAGAGTCTGATCCCCTGTGCAAACCCCCAGCTGGGAGAAGAAGCCTGATTTGCTGAGGCCAGGGGTGGCAAAGAGCTCGGACAGGAACCTGCACTAAACCTTTGACACACAAGACATTTCCCTTTCGGGCCAAGGCAAACAAAGGAAGGAAGTGTCTGGGACTTTTAAAGCGCCCCAGTGGAGACAGGTAAGGGCAGATAAGGGCTGAAGGAAGAGTGGGTTGGGCAGGGGAAGTGTCTCGTTTGGCAGATTTGGTGGAGTCCTCAGAGCTCTGCAAAGCTGCCCCGGGGAAGGGAGAAACGGGCCCCGAAGTGCTGAGAGAGGGGTTTCTGTTCATCCTCTGTGCTCAGCGAGGGGTTTCTGTTCATCCTCCACCTTTTTTTTCCACACACTTTGCAGGGTTCTCTGTGCCTGAGGCTGACAGGACTCCCCTACTCACCTCCTGAGCACCACCAGGCTCTGGGAAGGCTCCTGCTGGGCTCAGGTGCTCGGGTAACCTGGACCATTCCTGGTAGATCCCACCATTCCTGGCAGATCCCAGAGCCAGGACTCCCCAGGTCTGGACGGGCACTCGGACGAGCCCGACGTGGCGACAACAGAGCTGCTGCTTTTTGGTCCTTTTTAAAGCAAAGTGGACAAAACCAATCCAAGGTTCTGAACCCAAAGTTCTCCTTTCCTATGGGGACCTTGGTTGGGGCTCGTTCCCGGGGTTTTCCAGCGGAGGAGCCGCTGGGATGAGGCAGCTCCTCCCTCCTTCCTCGCCCAGCAAAGCCACCGGAGAGGCAGCGGAATCCCTTCAAATCCCAGAAAACCGGCTGGAGCACCATCTGGAGGCAGCTCCTGGAAGGTGTGGGCAGAGCTGGGAGCTCTGGTAGCACCTTTCAAGGGCTGAGCAGGACGGATCCCGGCTCCAGAGCTCCCATCCCACCCATGCCCTTGGATCCCAGGGCCTTGACTTATCCCATCCTGCCTCTTCCCAGCTTGGCCAAAGCCCCTTTCTGGACGTTCTGCCGCGTCACCCGCAGGCAGGTGGCCCCAAAACCAGGGGTTTTCCCAGTGGGTGTCCCCGAGGAACAGGAGGGAGACTCTCAGATCACACTTTTCCCCTCCAATCTTTGCATTTACGACCCCGCTGCAACTTCTCGCCCGCGTTTCTCTGCTCTCCGTCCGTTCCTGCCCCCAGAGCGCCGAGTCCAGGGCAAGAATCACCTCCCTGGCCCCCTTGGCCCCACTGTTTTGCTGCTCTCCCCGCCCCACATCAGCTCCCTGGGGCTCTGGAGCTTTCCCTGGGGCTCTGGAGCTTTCCCTGGGGCTCTGGAGCTTTCCCAGGGGCTCTGGAGCTTTCCCAGGGGCTCTGGAGCTTTCCCAGGGGCTCTGGAGCTTTCCCAGGGGCTCTGGAGCTTTCCCAGGGGCTCTGGAGCTTTCCCAGCCCGGCTGGAGCAGCGAAGGCTCCTCCGGGCTTTATCATCCCATCAGAGCAGTTGGGAGACAGTTGAGTGTCTCTCCCGGGGCCGATAGAAGGGAAGGCTTTGCTCTGGCAGATAAGGGGCCCTCAGGAGGAGCCAGGGGAGGCCGTTGGTATCTGAGGGTCTCCCAGGCCCGGCAGACACACCCTGGGCACGTGTAGGGCGGGGGGGCCTCACGTAGGCAGAGGGTTCAGTTAACTGAACCCTCGCTATCATCCTCCTCCTTCTCCCTGGGATTGTTTCTCCTGCTGATCCAGCCCTTGCAGGGACCTCCTGGGCTGCCCAGGCTGTGAACAGACACTCAAATCC